GTTAAAATGTGTTTAAATACCTATTAATCAAAATATTAATATACAAAAATAAACAATAAGGTTCAAAGTGAATAGAATATATATTCTTTCTTCACAACTAATATCACGCTTTATTCACAATACAACTCTTTCTGGCCTTCTTTTTCTCTTGGCTCTTTGCTTTTCTGTTGCTTTGCGTTCCGGATGGACTTTTGTCCAGAAGCTGTTACACCCGTCGACAGCCGATCGCCTGCATGCAGTGTGTCAAGGAGTTCTGTGGACGAGGTGTAACGCTTAAAAACGTCAGAATTGTCATTTCTTTTACTTCAGTTTGATTGCTATTTTTTATGTCTAAGTATTGTTGTAATAGAAGGGATGGCAAAAAATAATAGAACGTGATATAATTTTAATTATAATTTTTTTCTCGCTGCATTATTTGGCTGCCCCTCCACTGGTGGCGCCATAGGGCAAGCAGCACTGTCCAGCTGTATATTGTTCCCCTCTGGGCCCCGTACAAGCTGTATATTGATATTGGGCCCTCTGGACCCGTACGGTGTATAGTTGTATATTGGGCCACTCCCCCCCGTCGGCTGTATATTGGCCCCGTCCGGGGCCCCCGTACGGCTTGTATATTTGGCCCCTCGGGCCCCGTACAGCTGTTATTTATGGCCCTCCGGGCCGCCCCGTACAGCTGTATATTGGCCCTCGGGCCCCCGCCGTAAGCTTATAATTGTATATTGGCCCCTCCGGGCCTCCGTACAGCTGTAATGTTTTCATCAGGCTGATTCTTTACGTCACACTGAAGCTAACAGCTAACAGCTACAGCGGGAAGGAGACTGGTGGTCACCGGACAGAGATAACGTCAGTCCGCGGCGGAGACCGTTCGCCCCCCCCGGTCACTATCAGGCCGGTTATCAAGCGGTTATCTGTCGGTTATCAGCGGTTGTCTCGTGCAGCCGGTGGTGACTTATTGTCTTTCTCCCGCCGCTGTTAGCCGTTAGCTGCCGTTAGCTGCCTATAAAGCGGGCGACGGACGACAGCGGGATGAGCTTATGGCATGGTTCGGGTGCGGTGGCGGGTCGACCCACGAAAGACGGTGAGTTCGGGACATGTAACGGACATTTAACGGGACATTTAACGGGAAACTTCGTGTGTTTGATCCGGTTTACGGTGTTTGTGTGGCTAGACAATCACATGAACTGATTTACAGGTCAAAGTTACAATAACTAACATTATTAATAAACATTAACTAACATTAACTAACAATAGTGTTATTTGAATAATGTTTAGTTATTGTTAGTTATTGTTAGTTTAAAGGTTGTCACTGGGTTCTGGTTCTGTCCAGTGTTCTGGACTTTATATTCCTCACCTGGTTTGTACTGAGAGCTTTAACGTTAGTCAGTATAAGTGTTGTTGGTGTTTATTTTACACTTTATTCATTTATATATGAACTTTAAGGATTATATTTCATCCTGTAGGATTCTATTTATGACTTTATGTGTTATAATATAAAACAGCGGTATTTATCATTCAGTATATAGAAGATAAAAATAAGGAGTGTATAATACAGTATATTCGATGAATGTTATACATATTAATAACCTATACATTTATAATAATAATATATTAAATATACTCTATTAGGATATTAGGTTTGGTTTGTCTTATTCAAAAAAACACATTTTGGATTAATTTTCAACGCCGTAACATTTAGAGATAAATCTGTTATCAGCAGCGATGATTTAAAAGTAATATAAGTAGCTGGTATTAAACACAGTGCCACTGTCTGTGTGATTATCATATTAATGAACGAAGAGCGCGTTAATTATGTTATGTTACATTTAAACTGCAGATTATTGGTTATTTATAAACTTTATAGGGTGCTAAAAACATGTGGAGAATATGCAGGTGTTGTCGGTTATTAAATGTGAGATTATTCTTATACACGTGCAGTTCCAGTTCAAAGTAGGGGGTTTATGTTAATGTTTGCTGTGTTGTGGACTGGAAGACAGGATCAGAGGAGGATGGCGGTTATTAACGAACATTATAATGGAAGCTCTGATTCCCACCCAGTTCTACCGAGTCATTTTATTATTGTTTTTAGTGAAAACAGAAATAAATAGTAAATAATAACAAACTCATCAGAGGAAACAACACCTAAACACACATTAATCCTTTTGTACTTACTGGCAATAAATGATTTTTAAGGTTAAACAATTAATGAAGTTATTGATTGTATTAATCAACTAATCAGTTAATAATTAATTGAATTCTGTTGCTGAATGCTGTCAGTGTTTGTCATTTATCTTGCAGTGTTAAAAACTAAAACTAGCAGAATTATCTAGTTCATTTAACCAAGTTTAATGAGTAGTGGTTGATATTTATTATTAGTTTTAGTTTTATTATAGATTTTGATTATTATAATTATCTTATTTATTATTATAATTTATATTTTATTATAGTAGTTATTATTTATATTAATATATTATGTTGTATATTATATTAATACTTTATATTTTATTAGTATGTTAGTATATGTATATATATTATTATCTTTATATTATATTTATATTATCTATTATATATTATTTTTATTGTATTATTATATATGTAATGTAGGTATTATGTATTATTATTATTATATTATTAGTATTTTATTATTATTATATTGATTGGTATTATTATTTATTATTATATTTATTATTATTATTATATTCTGGTTCCAGCTTGTTAAATGTGAATATTTGCTCGTTATAGAAGTGAATGAACCTTTGGACTGTTGGATAAATCATCTTCAGAAACTTCATCAAACCATAAATGAGTTCATTCAGACAATTATTAGTTAATTAAGAATAAAAATAAAGGTCAGAAGAAGAAACACATTTTCCGAGCCGTCTGTCGGAGTCGACCTCGGTTACGTGACGGCGTTACGTAACGTGTTGTTCAGCTCACCTGAGACTCGCTCCTGAACATAAAGGATGTGTTTGAGCCTGAGAAGGAGCCGGGTGGAGACAGACGATCACACACGACTGAGCAAACACACACAGCTGATACAGATCCAGCTCAGTCGGGTTTATTGACGTCTGCAGCTCCGTTAAACAAAGTCAAACAGTTCAAACAGGATCTTCTGCTTCTTCGGCCTCAGGAAGGTTACACACACAAAACGTTCTGTTAGTGACATTTGAAACAGTTTTACCCCCAAAAGATGAATAATGAAATGATTAAAACTCGTGGGATCAATAAAGTCTGTATTATTTTATATTAAAAGTATAAATCAAAGGTTACAACAATACCCTCCGCTGTACAGCAGCTATACAGCAGCTTCAGATACAACATAATGTTCATGATATGTGCACTTTAACAGTGTTTTATATACAGATGTGATGGATCAGTGTTCCAGCGCTCTGTCCACCGTCTCCACCGGTACCGACCGCTGCTGCTGCACGATACCGGGACTGAAGAACAATATGAATAACGTTTATTACTGTTAGTTTTATTAATCAGACGGTTAAAAGGTGATTTTAAACTGGTGTTAGTCTAGATTAAATTAAGAATTAAGACACTGAAGCTCTGAAACGTGAGTTATTAATGAAATGAAGCCGGCAGACTTGATGAATCTGTCCTGCTTTAAACATTATTGATCTTTTACAGGGAGAAGGACTTGTCTGCAAAATGCATCATCAAGATGGAAGGAACCAAAACCTCCATCACCAACCTGAAGGTACCTTTTAGTTTTCCCCCCAAAAGTAGAAAACGCTGCTCACAGAAGCTGCAAATCAGTCTGAGAGGATCCAAACACCTCGTAGCTGAAGCTGTGTCTGTGTCTGTGTCTGTTCTGGTTTCTAAGATCCCCGATGGCATCGCAGGTGAATCGATGAGGGATCGAACCAAAACCTTCACGTACGACTTCTCCTACGACTCCATGGACTGTAAGAGCTCCTCGTTCGTCTCCCAGGAAAAGGTAAAGACCGCTCTCGTCTCTTAGCCGTCGTCAAAATGTGGTTGTCCTTTCAGCAAAGGTTAGTCTGACATATAGGATGAGTTGGTACATTAGTCAGCCGAGTGAGAACAAAACAACCTGAAAACAACAGAAAACAGGTTTTTTTGTTTGTTTTTTTGTAAAAGGAATGAGGTTGGTTTACCGTTTTATTGTTCCTCTTTTTATGAACGGTAGTCAGGTGATTGGTTTCTGAAAGGAATATACTGTTTACATAACCCATTCAAATGTGGACTATTGTGATACTGAGAACAATAGTGGACAGTCAGTGTGAACGTAAACGCAGTCACTGAAAACTTTATTACTACTGACACACAGATTGACCTTTCTTATTCTGACAATAACAATATGCAGCATGTCTTAGATAGGACACATACTGGCTGTAATAAAGCTGTAATAAAGCTGCAGTCTGGTATTATTCTGATGAATCATTCTCCAAACCTGCTCAGCAAATCTGTTGTTGTTTTGTTTGGATGATTAATGGTAACAAAGGTTGTGGATTTGGGGGGTCCAGAGTGTGGAGGATTTATCAAACTCTTGTTCTCTTCAAAGCAGCTTGTGTGTGTGTGTGTGTGTGTGTGTGTGTGTGTGTTTACTCACAACTGGAGCTGTATCACGTTACAGCTCTGCAACATCAATACTGACTCTGAGTCATGTGAGCCTCAAATCTGGACTGAAATGTTTTTGCGTCAGTAAAAGCTTTAATGTTCTGCTGTTCTCTGGCAGGTTTTCAAGGATCTGGGCTCGGACGTGCTGAAGGCGGCGTTCGAGGGCTACAACGCCTGCGTCTTCGCCTACGGTCAGACCGGCTCGGGGAAGTCCTACACCATGATGGGAAATCCAGTGAGACAAAACTCCACATTAACATTCAAGTTCCAGACAACGAGTGATAAGAGTCCAAATAATCGACCTGCCTGACCTTGTCTCCTTTTAATTGATTAGTTTGGGCCTCAACTAACGATTACTTTCATTATCGCTTCTTCTGTTTGTTTATTCTTCTGAATTGTTAAAGGTTTTTAGGGTCCGAGCAGCGACACGATGCTCGCAAACTCATTAAACTCGGCACAGAATTTAACATTAGGAGAAATCTACGTATGATTGAAATACCACGCCCCCTAAAATCAGCCCCCAAGACACGTACGACCGACATGTATGAAAACTGGTACGCAGTTGTATCATGATCACACAGGCAAGAAAGCCTCTTGGACTTGGAGTTCTGATTTATGTTTCACCATGAAACAGGAAGTTAGTAGCTTCAGTGTACTTCGAGGGTCCGATCATCGCTGCTTACAGCTTTAATATACATATGAACTTCACTAGAGCGTCTCAGAGCTACTTTAAGTTCTGACAGACGTGTTATCAGATTGATTTTATTCTCAGGGACACTGATGAATTTTAAACTACACTCAATATATAAATTATTACAGATGTTTGCTCCACCACCTGCTGGAAAACCTGGTCTCAGAGAGTTCAGAGAAACCTGAACGTGAAATGAGAAAGAAAATATTTGTTTTTAACAGGATCTTATTGAAGTCTGTTGTTGTTTTAGGGAGATGCCGGTCTGATCCCGAGGATCTGTGAAGGTTTGTTCAGCCGAATCTCTGCGGCGACTCGATGGGATGAAGCTTCATTTCGTACAGAAGTCAGGTGAGACCAGATTCTAAAATGTTAGAAGTTGGTAGTTTCTTATTCTGACCACCACACCTCAGGGTTTCCACTCAGGATTCGTGTTCACGTTATCTGGCTCCCCTGAGCACCAAGTATCCATCTTTAATCTGGTTTATGCCTTCAGCTACCTGGAGATCTACAACGAGAGGGTGAGGGACCTGCTGAGGAGGAAATCCACTCAGACCTACAACCTGAGAGTCAGGGAGCACCCAAAAGACGGGCCGTACGTAGAAGGTGAGACTGCAAGTCCCAGGGCCACAGTACTGCTGGAGAGTTGCAGTTTTCTTGCATGAGTTTGGTTTGGGAGTTGTTTTGTACAACGATCAAGTTTTCAGTGTGTTACGGTGGTCATCTGAGTTCCTATCTGAACCTTTAAGCTGTGTTAAGTTTAGTTCATGTGTCGACTTCCTGTAACCTGCCCCCCCGCCCCTCCCACCCTGATCCCAGATCTGTCCAAACACCTGGTTCAGAACTACAGCGATGTGGAGGAGCTGATGGAGGCCGGAAACATCAACCGCACCACCGCCAGCACCGGCATGAACGACGTCAGCAGCCGCTCGCACGCCATCTTCACTATCAACTTCACACAGGTCAGAAACTACTCACTCACCTGACAACACCTGGAATTATTCACTGAAATACGTTTTTGGTAAAGTTTGCTGTGTTCACCTCCTTCTGTCTGTCTCTTTCAGGCTAAGTTCGATGCGGAGATGCCCAGTGAGACGGTCAGTAAGATCCACCTGGTCGATTTGGCCGGCAGTGAGCGAGCCGACGCCACCGGAGCGACGGGCGTCCGACTGAAAGAAGGAGGAAACATCAACAAGTCGCTGGTCACCCTGGGCAACGTCATCTCCTCTCTGGGTCAGAACCTGCAGATATAAATCTGAATTGCTCCGTGTTTGAGTGTCGATGACTGACGGATCTGTTTCCTGTTTTCTGTGCAGCTGACATATCACAGGACGGCGTGAACACCAACCTGAAGAAGAAGTCGGTGTTTGTTCCCTACAGAGACTCGGTGCTGACGTGGCTGCTGAAGGACAGCCTGGGCGGCAACTCCAAGACCATCATGATCGCCAGTGAGAAGCAAACATTAGAGTTACATTCGGATATTTAAAATAAACCAAAAAACTATTGTATCTGATGTGATTCTGTTTTAAAATGTCTGTTATCTCTCGTCGCAGCCATTTCCCCCGCTGATGTGAACTACGGCGAGACGCTCAGCACTCTGCGGTACGCTAACCGAGCCAAGAACATCATCAACAAACCCACCATCAACGAGGACTGCAACGTCCGGCTGATCAGAGAACTGCGGGCTGAAATCGCCCGACTGAAAGCTCTGCTGGTTCAGGGCAACCAGGTAAACAAACGCACACAGAACAAGAGTGAAGCTACAAAGACGGGTGGAGTTAGAGTCCGCAGCCTCAAAGGGGAGGAAGTAAACCAGAAAAAGAAATAAAATGGACTTCTTTAGCTCTTCTTTAGTTGATTTAATTTTGATTGATCTGTTTATGAGGTTTTGTATTGTGTATCAAGCTACTATTCTGAACAATAGTGGTTATTGTGATGATGATAAAGTGACCGTATTCTGTTTCTGACTCTCGTGTTTGTGTGTCAGATTGCTCTCCTGGATTCACCCACTGCTCTCAGTATGGAGGAGAAGCTGCACCAGAATGAAGCCAGAGTGAGTTAAATTCACAATGAGAGCAGATTCAAAACATTTATTTGATGTTCATGTGAAAAAAAGGGTTTCGGTGTTAATGCTGTGATTAATTAATGATTGAATCAAGGGATCTGTACAGCGGTCCCGGGCATACTGGAGAGACACCATTGCTTTCTTTTGATTTGTACTGATTTGTGATTGCAGGTTCTGGAGCTGACGAAAGAGTGGACCAACAAATGGAACGAGACACAGAACATTCTCAAGGTACGAGCGTTTGTTTGTCATCCGTGTTTTTTATTGTGTGGACTGATCATGCTTTATTATTATTATATTATTATTATCATCATTATATTATTATGATGTGTCTTTAGGAGGAGACTCTGGCTCTGAGGAAAGAGGGGATCGGTGTGGTGTTGGACTCTGAGCTGCCTCACCTCATCGGCATCGACGACGACCTCCTGAGCACCGGCATCATCCTGTACCATTTAAAGGTCAGACATCAGCTCCCAGTGAACTGTCCTCTGTCTATAGTATGATCCAGTTTCCACCACATCACTGTTTTCTGTAACCGTAATCAATGAGGTGCAGACTGAAATAAGCAACGCTACACTGTAGGTTATAACGAATAATCAGCAGAGCGTCGACCCGAGCAGAATGTGTCCCTGGTAGATGTCGCTTCGTGCTGTTGCGCTGTGTGTGTCCTGTGTGTGTGTGTGTGTGTTTCTTTCTGTTTGCAACTTCCAAACTTCTTTGTTTTTCTCCTTCCACCTCAGGAGGGACGGACGTATGTGGGCAGAGATGACGCGTCCACAGAGCAGGACATCAGTGAGTCTGTTTACGATCAATAACCAGCAGGAAATGAAAAACAGCCCGTTTTATTTCACTGGAAATGCAGAAAACTACGGAAGAAATGAGCAAATACACATTTCTACAGTCATACAGCACAGATAACGTTATATAACATTATCAGACATTAATGGATGATGGGGAAGCCTGAACCGCAGCGTAAATGTGGAAATGATACAGATTATAACTTTAAACATCCATTTTAAATGTGTCTTTCCTTGAATGTGTTTTATGTAACTGTACTGAAGCTGTTTCTCCTCCTGCAGTCCTGCACGGTTTGGACCTGGAGAGTGAACACTGTATGTTTGAGAACCAGAACGGCAAAGTGACCCTGGTTCCCCTCGGTGGAGCTCAGTGTTCAGTTAACGGAGTTCAGGTGTCGGAGCCGTCGCAGCTCAACCAAGGTGAGACGCCGGAAACCTCATCAGTTGTCTTCCTGTCGCTTCTTTTAAGCTTCACTCACTGTGAGAATATGTTTAATACATAAAAGCTGAATCCTGTCTGCTGTCTTGCGGTCCAGGCGCCGTCATTCTGCTCGGCAGGACCAACATGTTTCGGTTCAACCACCCGAAGGAGGCGGCGAAGCTGAGGGAGAAACGGAAGGTGAGACTTTGCTCCGAGGTTGAGCTGAAGGTTTGGACTGAGGCTGCTCTCAGATGATGGTGATGATGATGATGATGATGATGATGATGATCACTTGTTTCCCCCCTCAGAGCGGCCTGCTCTCTACGTTCAGCCTCTCTATGACGGATCTGTCCAAGTCCTGTGAAAACCTGTCCACTGTGATGCTCTACAACCCCGGGTGAGTGTGTGGTAACAGCGGCTGCATGTGATTATCAGCTCAGACCCTGCAGTGCATCCCCCCCCCGCATCAAAGCCCCTTCACAACTTCAGCTTCAGGCTATCTGCATTTACACTGACTCAATACTGTCGGTGAGGTTTAATAAACACAACAACATGTGGCTCTTCAGCTTCAGTAAAATGGATATAGTTCACAGATTATAAAGAAACAGATCGTCTGTCGGAAAATAAGACCAGAACCTCAAAAGCAAATAATATAAACCGACTGAATGTCTGAAAGTAACCTGGAAATAAACATTTATGTTGGAAACCATCATAATGATAATTCAAGGAGCTACTGACACTGACACACTAACAGTTGTACATTTTGCCTTAAAAGGTGAGGAAAGGAAAGTAATATATTACTCAAGAAGATTAATTACAACCACTAATCCACGATACTAGAATATATGAATGCACATTATTATTTATTAATACATTTAATATGAATTTGTTTATTATATTGTAGAGACTTTTTGTTGTTGTTTTTTTGCTCCTCATGTGGAGTTTGAAGGATTAGTAGTTTGCTCTTTAAAATGTCAGGAGAATAGTGAAACATGTCCAAAAGGTGAAGGGCTAAAAAATCCACAATAAAACAGAAACGATTCAAACACAGCGGCCTCCGGTTGAATTAAGTTTTTGTTTCTGAGCTGATGATTTAAAACAATGTTTGAACCTTTAACGCACTCAGAAATGTTCCAGTGTGTAACATTTAGGAGGATCTATTGTCATAAATGGACATTTAGTCATTCGTGTATAATCACCTGTAAAAACACTGAGTGAACAGATGAAGCACCAGGATTATTCAACTCTGGCTGCACAGAATAAATCTGCACGGTTACTTACGTGTCGCTGCTCCTGTGAAAACAAGGTCTAGGTTTTGGGAAATATCCTGATGTTAATGATATTTACTGAGTGCATTCCTATCCTCACAGGAGGAACCACTCCCTCCTGTGCAACCCTTTAGGACACACTGTGCGCTCTGACTGTTGGACAGTTTGTTTGTTTCCTCCTGATTATTGTCTCCCTCCCCGACCTTTTACTGCCACCATCAGGCTGAATCTTTTCTTTCGCTGGAGAGAAATTGAGCTTCTTGTTCTCAGTGTAATCTGCAGCTAAATGAGTTGAAGGATTTTTACACACACACTCGTTCACTCTCTGTAAGCAGCAGCGGTGTGTTTTGTTAATTATTAGTCACTTAGCTTCCTGTCCTCTGTCCGCTGGAGTTAACTCTGTCAACCCTGTCTTGTTGGCAGTCTCTTCACTGAGAAGGGCCCCGTCTTCCTCAGGTAGACTCAGCCGTCCACTTCCTGTCTAACTGTTTTTGACACACAAACCTGTGTTGACTCGTCCAGTCTCTCAGCCTGAACCCTCATTGTCTGTTTTGTTGTTGTTATTATTATTTTGCACGTCACCTTGCTGCTTCTGTCTCCATTTTGACGTCTGCCAGTAGTGAACACATCGTTGCTTTATTCCTCACCGCCTGGCGTTTTCATTTTAAGCCTCATTTTGTGTGTAGACTGCTGCTTTCACTTCACTAGTTGAGGTGTGTGTGTGTGTGTGTGTGTGTGTGTGTGTGTGTTTTGATGAGAGTAAAAGAAGCTGATGAAGGTTTTTGTGTTTGCAGGTTGGAGTTTGAGAGACAGCAGCGAGAAGAGCTGGAGAAACTGGAGCTGAAAAGGTACGAAGAGTCGGTATTTTCTCCAAATGTACTGAGAGACATGAACATGCACTCGTACATAAGATTAGAGTTCAGCTGGAGTTAATCCCACAATCTCTTGAATAAAGGAAATAAAATCATATTAATTTAATCAGGTTTTACTTTCTTTAAAACTAAAACTATGTAGAGTCACTGTTTCGCATCAACATACAACACTGAGTATGTTCTTGCTGTAGGAGGCTGATCAAGGAGATGGAGGTGAAGCACCAGAGTGAGAAGGCAGAGCTGGAGCGCCTGCAGCAGGAGGTGGAGAGTCAGCGTAAGGAGTCTGAGGAGGTACAGCAGCGGATCCTCCGTCAGGAGGAAAGCCTCCGCCGCCGCAGCCAGGACATCGAGAGCCGCCTGCGAGACTTCCTGGCCGAGAAGGAGCGATTTGAGGAGGAGAGACGCTCAGAGATCCAGGGGCCAGACCTCCAGCAGCAGAACCAGCAGGACGAGGGCCGAGCAGAGGAGGAGGAGCAGCGGCGGCAGCAGGAGGCTGCAGAGCAGACTGAGATCTACCGCGAGCTGGAGAAGCTGAAGAGGGAGCGCGAGGAGCAGAAGGTTCGTCTGGAGACTGAGCGGCGGCGGCTGGAGGAGCAGGAGCGGGAGCAGCTGAGCCTGGTGGGGAGGTTGGAGGAACAGCTGAGAGAGAAACACGAGGCTGCAGCCACCATGCTGACCCGCGAGGACGCACGCCGCCTGGAGGAAGAACGTCGAGCCCTGGCTGAGATCAGAGAAGCGCTCCTCCGTGCCAAAGAGGCTGGAGAGCGGCCAGATGTGGAGGATGCCAGCGAGGAGGCGAAATCTGCCCAGGCTCGATACACAGACTTCAAGGAGGCTCAGGTGAAGGAACTGAACCAGCTGGAGGAGGGACTCCGGCAGCAGAGGGAGCGCCTGGAGAAAGAGGTCGCTGCTGAGCGCAGCACGCTGCTGCTCCTCGCCCACGGCCTCAAAGAACGACAACAGCAGCTGAAAGAGGAGCAGGCGAAGGGGGCGCAGGACGCTACAGCTGTCTGCCAGGAGGAGCAGCTGGTCAAACAGGCGGAGCACAGATTGCAGTTCAAGGAGCGACAGCTGGCCAGTGTGACCGATGGCCTCCTCCCCGCACTGGCTGAGGAGAAGCAGAGAGCCGCGGAGATGCTGGAGCGCAGCGGCGGAGGAAGCAACGGGAACTGCGACAGCCCGCCGGGGCTCGACAACACGCTGTACCAGGTGGAGAAGGAGCTGGAGGACAAAGAGGAGAAACTGAACCTCCACTGGCACAGCGCTCAGCAGCTCCAGCAGCTCCAGGAGACCTTCGAGTTCACGGCTAACGTGGCGCGCCAGGAGGAGAAGGTGAGGAGGAAGGAGAAAGAGATCCTGGAGTCGAAGGAGAAGCAGCAGAGGGAGGCGATGGAGCAGGCGGTGGCCAGGCTGGAGAGGAGGCACTCGGCCCTGAGGCGCAGCGTCTCCCTGGAGCCCGACACCGAGGAACAGAGACATAAGAGCTCAGTCAGCAAGAACCCGAGGACGGGGACCGAACTGGACCAGCAGAGGTCAGAACCTTATAATGACATACAGATAGTCACTATATTGTAACAAAGTCTGCATGCACAGTGACAACTTGGCAAGTTATAATGACATAATGAGTCTGTTTCCTCTTCAGAGTGGAGCGGGAGATCCAGAAGCTGAGACAGAGGATCAGTGAAGGGGAAGAAAACAACAGGACTCACTCCAGTAACGACGAGAAGACGAGTCACACCAGCTCCCCGGTCAGCCACATCCAGAGTCTGAACACACTGCTGCCGCTGTCAGACGACCGGTACGAGCCACGAGAACAACCGGTTGTCTTATTCACCTGTTTATGTTGTTGTTGTTGTTAACGTTGGTACTCGTTGTTTACCAGGATAAATGCGTACATTGAAGAGGAAGTCCAGCGACGGTTACGTAAGATGAATCTTCTCAATGGCAGCAGCAGCAACATGGATCTGTCTCTGTCCAGTGAATCTCTCAAGGTGAGAACTGAACTTCATTAAGCTCTAACTGTGTTTAAAGGACCAGTGTGTAGAATTTAGATCTTTGCCTTCAAAGTATGTAGAGAAACTACCAATTCACAAAAAACATTAAAGGCCTGATCTGGAGTCAGTGTTTGGTTTGTTTGACCCGCTGCCTCTGTAGATAAAAACACAACGATTACTATTCTGATTAAACACTAATGAAAACACAGCTATGAATATTATATTACATTTCTGACAATAGAGCTTGAACCATTGTGGTTTTATTAATGTGCAGCATCCAAACCAATACCGACCTCCATTATTTCAGTACATCCTGACTATTGATTAATTAAAAGTTGTTGTTTGTTTGCCGGTAAGACACAAAAAAGCCATCTAAAGCCATCAGTTACCGTTAGTTGCAGCTAAAGTCTGCACAATCAATCAAATGTTAATTGTGATCACGATTTTGCCTTTTCACAATTAAATGAACTAATTGTTTCCTCCTGCTGCAGCTTCATGTTGACAGCATTTAACTGGTGAAACACTCTGATTAACTGTTGTCGTAATTTCCATTAGGTTTAATGTTTGTTCCAGAACAACAGTTGATCATCAATATATCAACAGTTAATTTTCTGGCGTCCTTTTGCAATTAAAGACGGAAAAATCTATAAATTCTGAAATAAAGGTAAACATCGTGGTGTGTTTGAACAAAGAAATGTCTGGTTCTCTCTTCAGTTGAGGTAAATAAATGATCTGGCTGTTACTGGATTTACTGCATCTCATTGCCCCTCTGACCAGTTCTGACCAGTTCTGGTTGGTTTTTATAGTCTAAACACGAATTAACTGGGGCTTTATTGCCACTCTAAAATGAAGATAAAGAGTGAATGAAGAAGTCCAGCAGACTTTCCCTGTGTAGAACTGATATTCAGCTCTTTAACCCTGCAGGAGGAGGAAGAAGTTAGCGACTGTAGCTCTGTTAGATTAACAGATGAGGTAAGACCAGGATGCATCTGCTCTGTATGTCCCAATGAGACTTTCCCTGCTCTATAATCTGCATGATTCTCCCAAATACAAGTTATGGATGGACTCAGTCACACTTCTGTCAATCAGTTTGGTTTCCAGCTCTTTTTAATTTGGTTCTTCTCCAACCTGGTTTAAGTTATCCTGGCTTTGTTTAATTTGTCCCTTTTTTCCCTTTTTCATGAAGTATAATTTAATAATTTATATAATTTGTTTGGATTACTAATAAAAATTACTGCTTGTTATTCTACAAAGTAAGAATATTCTGTGAATTTAATATGTAATGATACTGAGATCACCTGTGGATGTTTTATTGTTTTCAGGATGATGACAAGCTGCAAAACATTAATCCAAGGAGGCTTAAGTATGAGGTAAGACCAGGATCTTATTTTGGGATTATTACAATTGAAATACCAATCATTAAAAATCTGCAATCCTGCTACATTTTTACAATTCTGTATGTTTGCATTTTATTAAAATGTTCCTGTTATTGTTGCATGAAAGTTAGCAAAATCTTCTGATTTAAAGAAAGCGGTGAATGAGTTTCCATTTTAAATCTTCAGGGTTGCCAGACGGGAGTTCACAGACACATTTAGGTTTTAAGTTCCAATCACTAATATCAGTCACGTTTTGGAAGTAAGACAAAGGTTGAATGACATATTTTGTGACTCGTGTCGGGGTCAAAAATTTGGCAACACTAAACTCTTTGGTATATTTTTTGGAAGAACTGAGGAAAGGAAGCTCATTCTCTTCAGGGTGGTACCGATGCATGGAAAGCAGACAACAAAACATATCAAAAATATAATATTTTAGCTCGCAGTCCTTCATATTAAACACTGTGGGATTAAACATGGGTAAACTTTTATAATAATTTAGCCACAGAGAAAGGTTAGGGAAGATTTAGAAGAATTATTTGCACATGCTACTTTGCCCACGTTTGATTGGAATGGAAGTTTCTTTTTTTTTGGTTGTCATCCTAATTTGCATGCCAAACCTCCTCTCACTGTTTATTTTGAATCATTTACAACTCACCTGTGCACCTGGTGATGGAGGAACTGTAATTCTCTTTGGGTTGGATTATGGACTTCAGTTTAATTCAAAAGAACCTACCCGTCCTTCTTGACGATGTAGTCATGGACTCCCCCCTTGTGCACACAGAGAGTCTCCCAGTTTTGGTCTAGCCTTGTGCTTTCCCCGGACCCCGAGGCGAACTCCGCTCCTCACATCCAAGAAAACACGTTGGAAGAACCAGAGATTGGCCTCGTACAGCTTCACGGAGAAGAAAAACTAGAATCCACAGCTGAAGTCTTGATTGAAAAAGAGAAAGTGCCTAATAAAGATGGTGACAAAAACAAATGGTGGCAAGAAGGAGTGAATCGTCCTCTAGGAGAAGTGGGCAAAGCTGCTTGTGGGCTTGATCGATGTTATATTGGACAACAAGAGTTTTGTGCCACCTCTGCAAAAACCATGACCAACAGATTTGATGAAAACGATAATATTACCGATAAGACGAGAAGCGATCCTGCCTCCTGTGTTCCTCGTGATGGTGATGATGATGATAAAAAGGTTGAAGATAGGGTGAAGGAATTGCTGATACATGGAAGCTCTGATTCTTACTCAAAGGAAGTCAAACACCAGACAGCAGCAGGGATAGTAGAAGATGAAGAACCTTCCAATGATCAATCATCAAAGTTGTTGGACTCTGTCAATGGCTACATCAATTCCAAGCAAGTGTCGAAGGAATCCGTTAATACTCAAATAAAACAAGAGATTGACACAGAAGCTGAGAAGGTGGCAGCCAACAGGAGCTATTATTTGGGGTATTTTGCTGGAAAGCTGTCGGAAGCGTACAAAGACGCTGGTAGACGGCTGCAGGGCACACGGGACATCATTCGAAATGTACGAGTAGATGAAATGAAGGTTGTACTCACTCAGTATGTGACCATGATGTCCAAAGAGCTGCCGCTGGTTCATCGACTGCAGCTTAAACCGGAGCCCGAACCTCGCGTCCTTCCAGAAAATAAAGTCTGTAAGGTTGATCTGTCGAGGGATTGCACTCTTAGTCTTTCTCCGAACTGCACCATGACTGCGATCCCGGAGATTTCTCGATGGCCCGAAGGCTCTGTGTCGTCTCTGAGAAACACAAGTCCTGAAGTGTTTAATCAGAAGCTGGTCGAGCTGCCAATAGCCTTGTCTCAGCTACACTCACTTTCATCCCAGATGATCCTGGAAAAGTTGGAATCTCTGGCTCCTCAAATTAAAGTCAAAAAGCTTTTGAGTATCTTCTGGGTCAGAACTGCCAACCATAAGCAGCCGATCCCAAAGCCTGGGTGCTTGCTTTTGTCAGAAAAGGACATAATAGTGCTATCGAGTGAAACAAATTCAATCGACAACTTAAATGTTTTTCACCATTTTAATCTCATGGAACTCAAGGAAGTCCAGATTGGTTTGGCAGGGCAGCACCTCCGGCTAATGGGCTGCACCGAAGACACCGTCTTGGCAGTCTTTACCCACAGCAAAGAGCTTACCCAGGAGTTCTGCAAGGCTTTACTGAAGGTCCTTTCTCCTGAAAAGTTCTCTGAAGAGACTGAAGATCACCCGTTGCTCTCTGATGATCTCATGGTCCTCTCTCTGGATTGGATGTCGACTGTTCCTGACATCGTCCTGGACAACGGCCTTCGCGTCACCTCCAGATTTAAGCGGGTCCTTGCAGATCTGCTCTACATCGTCCATGGGAACATGGATGGTCCTGACAAACCCTCTCTGGCAAACATTTGTCCTCTGCTCTACACCAGCGTCAAGGTCATGAACTCTACCCATGTGCACCAGAGCACCATTTTTCAGTTTCTCCTTACGGACACTCATGTAGTTCTTCTCCGTGAGGATGGCATCTTTCACCCGGTGCCACGGGGCTCCAGTCTGGTCCCTGCACAGCCCCAGTTCCAGGGGCTCGAACTCCGCAAGCGGTCAGAGATCAGATGCCTGCTCGTGAAGCAGAATGACAACTGGCTGGTGGTAGACATCACATTTAAAACTCACAAACCGCAAACTCGTGAAAAGTCCAGGCGAGCCTCAGCTGAAGTGCCGGCGGTGTCTCATCACAGTCGTCAGTGCGACTCCTGGAAGTTGTCTTTCGGTTGTACCTCAGAAGCTATGATCTTGATTAATCATCTGTGTGCCTGAGTTATTTACCTGGATCAGAAAGAAGAAGTAATCACAAAGTTTAATTTAATTTAAGGATGTGTTAAATAAGCTTTTGCCACTTGACAGAAAAAAATAGTTAATAGCTATTTAATGAAAAGGTGATTCAAACTGGACCAAAGTAAACTGGACACATTTGAAAGTATTTTAAAAATATCTTTTAATATTTTATATTTGTTATTCAAATGTTATTATGTGATTTTGCCATTAAGTCCTAAAGATTGTATTTTGAAATGAGGAAGCCCAGACCATGTTGACATGTATTAACTGTAAATATATATTATCATAATGAATGAGGATAATCACTTTCTATGTATTTATGAAAGTTGTTTTGTTTTGGTCGGTTTACTGTTTTAATTGTGTTGATGATTCCTGTTTATTCTTGTTTGATTTCTGATCTCGTTCAAAGGGAAAATCAATTAATTTACCTTTTCTAACGTTAGTAAAACACTAGCTAGCTAACACTAACATTGGCTAACACTAGCTAAATTAAAATGTGACGATAAGTGTTGCTTTTATCTTTTAACCATCTTCAAAATGTGGTTGTGTTTTCAACATAGATTAATGTAATTATCTAAGTACAGGGAAGGAGGAAGTTGACCGAGGTTCCAAAAGGGAAAGTTTGAAGAAAAGATTTGCAGCTGCACTTTAAGAAAAATGATTGTGATCTGATGACTTGAATAAAATAGTTGGATTTGTAATAATGTGAAATGATTACAGAAAAAATATGTGTTTGAAGGAATAATGTTTAATGTTTATAATTATATAAAGTGAGAACAGGATAATAAAGATTGAACTTTGTATAAATCTTATTGTCTGATATTATTTGTCAATAGTAGTAAATTATTTTCAATCAACTTCAGAAATGATTCATAACAATTATTGTAAATTCTTTCTGAGTCAACCCTTTACTCTCCACCTCTTTCTTCTCCTCTTTTCCTGTTTCTCGTTTCTCCCGGTGACTTCTTCTGCAGCACCTGGTCTCTCGTTCTCTCGGGACGAGCTCCGACGGCCTTCAGGAGCCCGTTAAAATTAGCATTCCTCGTTACGTTCTCCGCGGGCAGGGGAAGGACGAACACTTTGAGTTCGAGGTGAAGGTGAGTTCAGGCAGCAGTCACTGGTCTCTCATCATCCATCTCTCTCTGGATGCTTATTTCTTCTATATATTTCTGAATGCAACCCCATAAAATGTGTCTGGATGTGGAAGATGATCCTATATTGATCTCTCAGTGGTGAAATCAGGGTTTTGCAGCAGCACAAGGACACATAAAGTAAAGGAAATTAATAATTAAAAGTGTATAAAAACTTTACAAGAACACTTTAACTCAAAACCAAATATAGGTTATAACTATTTTATTTTAGCTATTGAATATAATAATAAAAATCTGGATTCAAATTTGGATTTTATGCTTGTAAACTGACACTAAGTGGATGGAAGTACTCAGATGTAGAAGAACAGTACCACAGTGACAGAGCATAGCTAACGTTGCAGCAGCTAAAAGTGGAGCTAATTTGGACTGTTTTATGTAGTGCAAGGTATTTAAATATGTAATAATAATATGTAATTCCCTTTGCACCAGTGGTACTCTTGACCAGATGTTTTCGGGTTGTCTGTCGTTCTCATTCTTTATTAATAATATCTCGAGGGAATTTCTGACCATATTTCAGAAGTAGTTAGACCTCAAACATTTTATTAACTAGAAGGCCAAGTTGACACTGTAAATGAGAACTGGGCAAGAGGAAGCAACAGGAGGCAAGTTGAGTTCAAACAGCACAATATGTACAGTGTGTTCCAGAGAGGAAGGTTTAACAGCAGCAATCAGAAACATGTACTGAGTTATTAAAGACTTATTAAAGACGGTGATGGAATAAGGGTGAGCAGTTTCAGTGACTTTTCCAACTGGTTCCAGTAAAGGAGGTGTACTGTTGGCCTCGTGTGGAGGGAACCACAGGAACCAGATTTCTTCAGATTGTCTCTTGTTCTACTGTCAGAAAAGAATTCCACAATAATGACAACAAGAATATTTTCATAAGTTACAGACTGCAGCTTTAATAATCCGAATCTGCAAAGGAACCACCTTTTTAATTAAAATAGTTTGGGTTCTTTTTGTAGACGACCATTAGAAAGTATCTGAGTCCGTACAGCTTTATCTTTTCATCCGTCTTTACATCAAACGTTTCTGTCTCCAGATCACTGTGATGGACGAGATGTGGACGGTGTTCAGGCGTTACAGCCGCTTCCGGGAAATGCACAAGAGCCTCAAATTAAAATATCCAGAGGTGAGACGGTTTGATCCACTACAGCTACTCACAGTGTGACAGCGTTGTCTGAGTCCTTCTCCGGGAGGAGTTCTGACTGTGGGTTTTCTATAAACTCACTGATATCTCTGTTTCAGCTGGCAGCTCTCGAGTTCCCTCCAAAGAAACTGTTTGGAAACAGAGACGAGCGGATGGTCGCTGAGCGCCGGAATCACCTAGAGGCAAGACACTCTCATCCAGTTTTATTCACACATTCAAGCACAAAAGAGGTTAATTCTCTGGTTGTGAAACATGAACGTGACCCTGTGCTGTGTGTTCTTGCAGCGTTATCTGAGGAACTTGTTCCGGGTGATGCTGTCGTCCTCCAGCTCTCCCCTCAGAGCCGACGCGGACGGCGGTTTCCATCTCACCAAGCACGCCATCGGCGAGTTCTCGCCATTCTTCAAGAAGGGCGTCTTCGAGTACAGCAGCCACGGCACCGGCTGACTCGCCCGCCAAAGCGCCTGAACGAGCAACAAACAGAAACTGCTCGGTGCCTTTTCTCCGGGCCTCGGCTCGGGAGAACCGCCTCAGAAGGTCAGTTTATTGTCCAACACGAAGATCTCAATCAGTTTCAGCTCCACGTGGAAACTTTATCATGAATGTTAAGGTAGGAAATATTAAGCACTCTGTTTAAAGAGTTTTATTTCTACGTTGTGTATCCAGAGAAACCAGGTTTTCAGCGGACTTCGTACGATCTTTGTTCTGTTTTTTGAGTTGATGATGGAAACAAACACATTCTGGCAATAAACAGCTAAATATTAAATATATTCACATGCAGCTATGATATTTATGTCACGTAGTCTCTAAAAGTAGAACACAACATTAACGCAGGCAGGCAGCTCAGTGGAGATCCATCAGCAACAAATTAACAAATTTCATCATCAATTACTTGTTTATCAAAGAAAAATTCTCTTAATTCAGCTTCTAAAATGTGATTTGCTGCTTTTCTCTGTTTAATATCAGTAAACTGAATGTCTCTGGACAAAATGAGGCATTTGAAGATGGGAACTTGGGGCATTTTTCAGTAATTTCTCACATTTTAAAGACTAAATCAGTTTACAAAAGAAAGAATCAATGGCAGTGGTCAGTGACTGCAGCCGTAGTTCAATCACACCTGGATCTCCTGTCGGTGAGCGGCGGGAGGCTTTACCACTGGCAGGAGAACGGGTTCCAACAGGTCTCAACAGTGTGAGAACAGGAAGCTGGTGCCTGTTTACGTCGTAGAAGAGTGAACATTAATACAGAGTATCTGTAATGGGACTGTTGTGGTCTCGCTGTGGCTCCAGTTCTGTTTGTAGTTAGACTGGAAGTAAAACACAAACTCCGTGTGACCTTATATCAGATCTGCAGTTCTGCTGTAAAGTTGGCCGTTGTAACATGGGGCCTTATGGAGAATGACTCACTGCTGGAGCCAGCCTCTAGTGGCCGTTAGAGGAACTGCAGGCATGCTCGACTGTCATTGGATCACACAGCAAAAAGGGGCGGGACTTAGGATGGGTCAGTTCTAAACATATTTGTGCCATTTGAAAAGTTTTCTCTGAAGTAATGTGTGTAAAGGCTCAATTTATCTTTATCCCAAAGATTGTTTTAGTGCCACCAAACTCCAAACCTTCACCTTGATATTCGTCTTATTCCCCAAATGTAGTTTTATCCTCCCTCCTGATGGGACCTGATGACTGTGCATTTATTAGACTGCAGTGTTTCAAAAGACTGAACGCCTCTCTGTTTCTTCTCTGTGCTCTAATTTTATTGATTTTAAACACCCGACTGATCGTTAATGTTAAATTAGATCCTCGACTCCACAAACCTGTAAAATAAATGATCAGAGCACAGAGACGCAGCCTCAGCACACACTCAAGATTTCCCAGATTAAAGGTCGAACAGGACAAATAATTCACTCAGAGGGAGAAACTCTGTCCCTCCAGCAGCTCAGCACTTTGTACTTCAGAGCTGGTTTTACTTTTAATATAAATGTGTCAGTGAGTGAATCCGATTGGATCCTGAAGTCTTCCACAGCCTCACTGTCTGAATATGAACACATGAACCACTGACTGCTTTCTTCCATAAGCCATACTGTGTGTATATAGAATGTAAATGTTGATGTGCATAGTTTTTCTATACGATTATGCTTGTATGCAATGTAAACTATTGGCATTGAATGTCAGTAAAGGGAATGTACCACAACCTTCACACTGAGTCCACTGTGTCTTCTTCCTGCTCAACAAGAACTGTTGTTAGAGGTTCCACATTCACTAACTGGAGTGGAAGAAATCAGGATATAATAACGAGTTTCACCAACCGTAGCACAGAAAGTTGAGCCTCGTCATCAAACAGATTTTATTCCCACTGGAGGAAGTTTTTTTTATGGACAGTCTCAAACAAAAATTCTTGTGATTTAAAAACATTTATTGGTTTGACAACATGATGTTGATCTTTGTGATTTAGAGTTTACCTGGTAAACATCACCAGCAGCTTCAGGATAACGGACATTTATATTTGTGTAGAAACATCTGCAGTAAACAGCTGTGAACTGCTTATTCATGATTCATGCAACATCTTCAGGAAATTATGAAATGAGAGAGAGGTAGAGAAGGTTTCAGAGTGTCCAGGTAGAGCAGGTGGAGTTCAGTGTTTGGAGGCTGGTCCAGGAGAGTTCGGTACCCGAGTCTTTCCACCCAGGATCTGCTCTGAGGGCCTGAAGGGGAAGTCGTACAGAGGGACACTGAGACCCTCCAGCTTCTCCCTGCAGGTCTGCAGCAGGTCGTCATACTCCTGCAGGTCACACGTTCATTACGTCACCACGTTATCGGACAGATTTCTCTCAGAACGACGACATTAATGTGCGATAATGCTGAAGAGCTAACGGCGACTGACCTGACACTCCCGGGCCAGCTCGCTCTGGAAGGCACTGATGGCGGTGCGTTTAGACTCCAGGATTTCCTACAAGCGGGAAAAACAAATGTTCAGATTTTTGTTCTTGAAACACAAATATTAAAAAATCACAAAAAAGTGTTACTGGCGCCCCCTGCAGGCTGTATTGTCCATTACACCTGCTGATAGAAAGAACATACAAACATAATGATGATCAGAGCTGCACAGTAACGCATTAGTAGTATTAATGTTACTTTGTCGAATAACTAATAACTAACTCAGTAATAATATCAGTTACCTCCCCAAAAAATAATTAGTTACAACCTAATTTTTCTTGTCACCCTGCTACTCCCCGGATTAATGATGTAATTGTGCACAGGCAGGAAGCAGGAAAAATATATCTGTAGGTTTTTCTGGTTTATTTGACAGATTTCTTCTGTATTTTTTTAAATACATGGAAATATTAATAAAATTACAAAAATAACCTGTGAATTTACACATCTTATGTAAAATAATGTGAAAAATCTGTTTGCTTATTTAAAGAAAAGATTGTGGTATAACTTTTAAGCCCTGGCTGTATTTGTATGGATGGCAGGAAGATGTAAAATAGATTTATTGCTTCTTGAGAATAAAACATTCTTTTTCTACAAGTTCTGTAAAATTCTCTGATGAACATTAAAGGTGTACTGTAATCTAGATATGGAGTCTTGTGCATACAGGAGTGAATCATCTGCATAGAAATGGATATTAAAGGTCTGAGCTGGAGTGATATTGTTTATATAGACTAAATAATAATGGACCAAACACAGAACCTTGTGGTACTCTTTTTGGTTATTAAAATGGAGTTTTGAGACTACAGGTACAGATCGCTGAGGCAAAGACACACGTTTTAACAACACGTAGATACAAAATCGTACCTCCAGTTTGTTGGCGGCGGCGTTGCTGACTGCAGTTTGGTCGACGTTGGAGACCGAAAGCGCGGTGCAGAGCTGAGCCTCCTTCTTCTCCAGAGTTTCTGTCAGTGCTGCCAACTTCCTCTCCAGCAACAACTCCTTCAGTCCGCTCTTCTGCTGGATGTCCAGGATGGCCTCCGTCTGCTTCTTCAACAGCTCGTCACGCTCCTGCTGAACCTGCCGCCCACCAAAACATTCCTCTGAACACCGGCCAGGCAGAGTGAAGGTGGAAGTTGTGATGTGAGCAGTTTACCTTTTCAAACGCCTGCAGCAGCAGCTCGTGCTCCACCGTCAGATCTCTCAGCTCCTTTTCAATGACTTTCACACGAGCTCTGGTCGTCTGTAAAACACATTATCAGCATTTTTTATGGGCATCGTTTCAGTCAGTTACAACATTTTAATAATTTGTGTTAAAAACTGAGTCAGAGACGACTACAGGAAGTGTGGCAGGTAAGATGTGTAAGATGTAATGAACGTTTATAAAGGAATTCAAGATTATTTAAGATTAAGAAACAACCTTTGGCTTTTAACAATTAGCATATTGTGAATAGTTGGTATAAATTTACTGAATTTGTCTTTTGGTACAGCGTCACTGTCAGATGCCTGATGAAAACTGAATTGTAGGGTTGGTTACTGAACCTCAATACATTTTGTTTCATAGCAACACTAAAGAGTTATTCAATAGCTTTATTCTCCTCCAAACCAGTGAAAAAGCTCTGATGTAGGAAAAGGCACAGCTCGAACTTCTAACAGCGTCCTTGTGTCTTTAAATCAAATCTGTCGGTTTAAATGTTGAAATGGATGTGAAAGATGGACAAATCTATAAGAATTGGACTTAAAAGTTTTCCTTTAAGTGCAGGTAGCAATGAATATTAATAGACAAAAACACTGAAATGTGAAATTAGCTTAATTTTCAATCCAGAATATCTGTATTGTACGGTAGTTATTTAATGTGTCGAGATGCTTTCTGCGCTCTGTGCAGTGAACGCACCGCCATCTTGGCCTTGGTCTGGTTGTGTTCTTCCAGCTGTTTCTGGAGCTCGGGCAGCTTCAGTTGGGCTTCCTGCAGAGACTCGCTCAGACGTCTGTTCTCCTCCTGAACTGCTGAAAGCTCTTTGTCCGCTCGGGCGTGCTGCTTCGTCACCTCCGCAAGTTCCTCCTGACAAACAACCGAGCCACATAAACCAAAAATATTATCTGTACTTCATCAAAAACATCTAAACTTTTACGTGTTAAAGTTAGTCGTGGTTTGTAAAACTCAAATAAATGTGATAAAACAACAATAAAAATGATTCAGCTGGTAACAAACAGTGACTTTATTCCAGCTCCAGGAACTGTTTCTGTAACAGAAAAGTAACTATTCACAAACTGATTATTTGAAGGTAGACTATGTTTGACTTAAAACCCTGATTGACTCAACTTATTCATATTCACCTATCTTACTGTAAGAAAAGTCTCAGATAAATAAACTACTTGGGACAGAAGATGAACAAATGCTTAAACATCCTTGTAAAAACAATTTAAATACAAAAACAGTATATAGTATATAACTAGTATATAATTAGTGAATTTTATTTTGACTCAAGGAACCGATGAATGTCTACGAAAAACAATATAATAATATAATAAGGTCATATATACAAAATTCACTTGCCACTAGATGTCGCTCTGGAGCACCAGACTCAGTGATTTTACCTGGCTGATCATCGTAAAACAAACTCAGGTTGTTATTGTCAGACAGCATTATGGGAAGGATCCCTACAGAGATAGACCTTTAGTTTAACCACAAACAGCAGTAATATCACTATCACTCNNATCCCTACAGAGATAGACCTTTAACCACAAACACTCACTGTACATTTGTACAAAGTGAAACTACATCCACCGTTTCACATTCAGAGCATTAAGCTTCTGTAGAACCGGTTTCATGTACTGTGGTCCTCTCTGTCTCACCTTCAGCACCTTCTGATCCACCAGCAGCTTAGTTTGGACAGCAGAGTAGTACTCCTCAGCCCCTCTGAGAGCTCGGTCGTGGTCCTCCACCAGACTCACGACGCGGCTCTTCATTCTGTCCTCGAGCTCGTTCGTCTCGGCTCTTCGCTTTTTGCCCTCCGCTTCGACCACTGACTGCATTTTCTTGTGATATTTCACCTCAATCTCTATTTAACAGCAACAGAGAGGAGAGCGGTTAGACAGAGTTTGAGACAGTATGTTTGTGGGAGTCGGGTTTATTCACCTCTGATTCTCCTGTCGTAGTCGTTCGCCAGCTCCATTAACTCCACCTGGTGTTTCTGTTGAGAAGAGCGACACGTCAGAGGCCGAGGTTCTCACTGGTGGAAATAAAACGGGGACCGACCGAGGAACCAGACTCACCAGTTTGAGCACCTTGATGCAGTTTTCGTTTTGGAGCTTCTTCTCTCTGCAGTCCGCCTGCAGGCCGTGCACTTCCCTCCGGAGCCCGAGCTCCGACTCCGTGTGCTGGTTCTGGATGAGCGAGGTCGAGGCCACGCCGTCCATCTTCAGCCCGGAGGTCGCGTCGTGGTGTTCGGACAGGACGTGCTTCAGCTTCTGCTTGTACACCTGTACACCGATGATCACATGGTGTTTAGACGTGAAATTCAAATTGGGTTTGTTCTAAAATATACTGAGTTTAATCAGCACATGAAGTTTGATAAAAGTAAATAATAATATAAAGAATATTGTGGTAAACAGAGTGGATACATATAAAAGAGAATATACAGCAGATAATGATATCATAATGTATCAGGCTGTTCGTCCGGATCTCACCAAACAGATAATAAACCTCTGAGTTTGTGTGTACGTGTAGTGTGTCGTGTCGCGGCGTGTGCTTCGTTGTGGTGTGTGTGCAGCTCACCGTGATCTCCACTCGGTGGCGCTCCTCCGCCTCCTCTCTCTCCCTGTGTCTGTTCCTCAGCTCGGCCTTCGTCTCCTCCAGGCTCCTCTTGGAGATCTCCCAGAAGGCCTGGATCTTGTCCCTCTCCAGCTGGAAGTAGCTCCTCTCCTCCCGCTCTCTGTCCAGCTCCTCTCGCAGGCGAACGATGTGCTCCTCCAGCTGGAGGGTCACACACACATCAGTCTGTCTGTCTGTCTGCCTGTCTGTCTGTCTGTCTGTCTGTCTGTCTGTCTGTCTGTCTGTCTGTCTCTCTGTCTGTCTGTCTGTCTGTCTGTCTCTCTGTCTGTCTGTCTGTCTGTGAGCGGCTGCCTCGTGACAAATAACGCAGCCTCATTAAATATAATATTTACATCAGTTGTTGTGTTTGAGATGTTTCCATTCCTCCTTATATTTCAGTAACTCTTCAAATGTTCTTTTATTTTTCATCAAAAAACTTCACAAACATAAAACTTCCATAAGAATTCAAAATAAATTATTATTGTGTTATTAGTTATGCCTGATAATGATCTCACGTTCCTCCTGTTGAGTTTGTTTTCAGCTTCATTCTTTTTATTAGATTTCCATTTGCAGCTTTATAATATTTATTGATGTTGTTTTAATGTTTGTGCTGTTTCAGTTTTACAGAGCGAACCACGTTGAGCTGCATGTTTGTGTGAAAGCTGCCGTTTAAATAAAGTTCAATCAGGGTTCACACTCTTGGTTTTCCAGGACATTTATCATTTCTGGTTTACTGACCTGAAACAGGTAAACACAGGTGTTACCAGATCTGTTCGATGTCCAATAGAAACACTGTATTATACTGTAGGTGAAGGAGAAAAGCTAACAGGTATTCTAACTCTGGATTATGAGGTTCATTTATAAAACAACTAACATTTAGTTTCTCACTGTAGTGTGTTTGCAGCCTGTATGTGGAGCTACATGAAACCATGACTGTGGATTATTTCTGTTTGTTGAACTTTCTTCTTTCATTCGTTACAGGACAAAGAGGTTGTGTATAATTCAAATGTGCATCAATATAAATAAAAGATTTAAGATGTGAAAAAGGTCTGTTGGCTGCAGCAAAGCACCGGTTAAAGTACAATTACACTTTATTAACATGGCTGCAAAACTCATTTATAGCGTCACATTTCCAGGTTTTCCAGGTTTTCCAGGACGCGTGTGAACCCTGTCAGTGTTTACAAGGAGTTAGATTTTCTACATGTGAATAAATATAAAGTTAAAGCGGTTTCCCTCCAGCTGACCTGGTCTTTGGACATCTCCTCGGTGGACAGACCGTCCACCACCGCAGAACTCTTCCCCTTCCCGGGCTTCTTGCTCTTCGCTTTTGGAGGCTGAAGAAGGAAACAAATCATCTTTAACACCTTTAAATCATCGTTCTTCACACCATTTAATCATCTAATTAAATCAATCAATTTAATCATCTTTTAAACTCTTTAAATCACTCTTGTAATCATCTTTAACACCTTAAATCATCTTTAACCACCTCCTAATCATCTTACACCTTTAAATCATCCTGTCAATCAACCTCTCTTAAATCATCTTTAACCTTTAATCATCTTTAAATCACCTTTAACACCTTTAAATCATCTTAACATCTTTAATCATCTTTAAATCATCTTTAATCAATCTTTAACACCTTTAAATCATCCTTTACACCTTAAATCATCTGTAACTTCATCTTCTAACCCTTTATCATCCTCTTCAAGCATCACCTTTAAATCATCTTAACAATCTTAATCCATCTTTAAATCATCTTTAACACCTTTTAACATCATCTTTAACACCTTTAATCCATCTTCAATCACCTTTTAAATCATCTTCCCCATCTTTAACATCATTTAAACATTCTTTACATCCTTTAACACCTTTAAATAATCTTTAACACCTTCTTACACATCTTTAACATCCTTTCAAAATCATCTTTACACCTTCTTAAATCATCTTTAAGTCATCC